AATAAAGTGATCTTTTAAGGATATTTTTTGATTAGTATTGATTTGGAGTCTATTTTATCATAAATAACAGCCATCTCTGCTTGCCTTCTAGTTCTATTTTCTCAGAATAACTTTTTCCATCCTTTCCAGATAAGGCCATATTTGATGGTACATTGTGTCTCTGGGCCAACAATTAAATAGATCATGTTTTCATAGTCTAGTTTTCTAGTCTGCCTTCTGATTAGTCTAATACTATTCAGTTACTACTAAAAGGTGTGAGCTAATTTCTATTGTTTTATTGCTTTTACTTCTTTATTCTTCTATCTTTTATTCTTTCATATAGCACCATTGATGTGTCTATCTTTAGTCTTACCCGAAAGGACACCTTTGTGTGTGTGTGTGTGTGACTATAGGTGTGATGTGTGTGAGTGCATGTGGTGTGTGTGTGTGTGTGTGTGTGTGTGTATGTGTGTGTGTGTGAATGTGGCAGCCAGAGGCTGTGATATAAGGTATCTTTACCAGTGACTCTCCATTTTATTTTTGAGCCGAGGTCTTCCATGAAATTTGGATCCCAAAGATTTTGCTGGGATATCCAGCCAGGGAGTTTCAGGAATTTGCTCATTCCTTACCCTGTTTTTCCACCCTATTACTGCGCTTACAGGACTGTGCCATCTCCTTAGCTTTCTGCAGTGTTTCTGCAGGGCTGTTTTAGGGGCAATGACTTCCTTAAGTTTGTTGTTATGGGAATCTTTCCTTTCTTTTTCAACTATGACAAATCATCCCACTGCCTGATGGTTATGGTAATCTAGATTGATGACTGTTGTCTTTTGGAATTTGGGTTATTCTTGTTTTCGGCTTGATACCCCCCCAGAGTCACTTGGGAATTTTTCATTCTCAGCAGAAGAATCGCCTTGCCATACTTGTCTGTGAGGAATTCTCTCGACTGAGCGCCTCTCTTTTAGAGTTTCTGTTGAGAATTGTCTGTAATTCTGATAGCTTTGCATTTTACATGTGACTTGGTGCTTCTCTTGCAGCTGAGTTCTCTATGTTTAGTTTGGTTATTATCCAACATGGAGATTTTTTTCCTCTTGTCTTTTTACTGCTCTGAAACAAATGCCTCCAGAACGTGCTTATCTCTCTCCCCAAATTTGGGATATTTTCTGAGATGATTTTATTGAATGTATTATTTATGTCTTTAGCCCCCTTGAATTATAAACTTTGTACACTAGTGGCACCCCATAGATCTTATATGTATGGTTGCTTTTTTCTTGTTTTTTTTTTTTTTTTTTTAACTCTTTGCTCTTCACTCTTGAGCTGTTTTGGGAGTGGCCACCCACCCAGCTCCTAAATAAGTACACAGAGGCTTATTCTTACTTATGAATGTCCAGCCTGAGCTTGGCTTATTTACAGTCAGTTTTTTTAAACTTAAATTATCCAGTCTACCTTTGGCTTTGGGATTTTATGTTTCTCTATTCTCTATACCGTTTGTTACTTCTTACTCTGTGACTGGCTGTGTAGCTGAGTGGCTGGTGCCTGATGTCCTCTCTTTTTTTCCTTTTGTTGCTCCTTGATCTTCTCTTGCCAGATTTTCACTCCGATTTATTCTCTCTGCCCGCCAGCCCCACCTGTCCTTTCTCCTGCATTGATACTGGCTCTTTATTCAGCTCTTTATTTGACGAATCAGGTATTTTAGACAGGCAAAGTAACCCAGCTTCAAATAGTTAAATAAATGCAACATAAAAGAATACAACATATATTTACATCATTAAAATGATCCATAGCATAAATTGATGTAACATATCTTCAACTAATATATGTTGTATGAGGCTGCTTATCTGTTCCCGGCTGCCCAGAACTGAAATAATCACACAGAAACTATATTATTTGAATCACTGCTTGGCATATTACCCCTAACTTGTTATTGGCTAACTCTTACATCTCAATTTACTCATTTTCTATTAATCTGTGTATCGCCACATGGCTGTTGCTTACCAGCAAGGTTCTAGCTCCTCTGTTCCTGGTGGTGGCTACATGGTGTCTCTTGACTCCGCCTTCTTTCTCCCAGCATTCAGTTTAGTTTTCCCCCTCTAGCTCTACTCTTTTGCCCCATCACAGGCCAAGAGAGCCTCTTTTTTCATTAACCAATAAAAGCAACACATATACAGAAGGACTACCCACAGCAAATATAGATGCTGTGCTCAGACTTCCTTATTTTTATCTTTGTCAGTATCTGAATTTGTATATCTGCTCTTCTATTCCTGATAATATATCTTCCACTTGCTCCATGGTGTATGCATGTGTGGTGAATCCATGTCTGAGTGCAGGTAAGCACACATGTATGAAGGCCAGAGGAGGACACTGAGTGTTAGTTCCCTCTCCCATTCTCTGCCTTACTGCCTTGATACAGGCATACCTCTACCTGAGCTCACAGCTCACTCGGCTCGGTCGACTGAGTTCTGCATTGGAATTTGCACAACACGTACTCATACTCACCAAGTCATCTCCCCAGATATTCCCAGATGATGGTTGGTTGCTATATGCTGATAAAACAGGAAACCACAGCTATTATTGTGAGTATGCTTGAACAGAATCTATTCTTTATAGGGCATATGAGAGCTGATGATCCTGAGTGCCGAGATCAAAATTACTGTATTTTCTTTAAGAACAAACCTTCACCAGTGTTGTAAGTTTCTCATAACTTGTCAACTTCTGATGATGGAAAGTGATCCCACAGTAATTAGTAAAGCCAACCCTTTTTAATTATACAGATGAGCAGGTTTCTCTGCGAAGTTTTCAGACTTGAATATATTGTGTTTAATCGTACCCACCCACCCTACTTAACCTTCTCTGCCTCTCCTCCCCATTGAACTGACAGTCCCCCACATGCGAGAGAACACATGTGGTTTGTGACATGATGATCTCTAGTTCCATCTACTCTGTGCAAATCCCATGACAGGTTTCCTTCTTCTCTATGGCCGAGTGTCCCGCTATGGATGTTCCAGACTGTATCCATCCTTCCCTCGGGCAGCCAGGCTGACACTGTGTCTGTAACATTGTGGCAATTGCCTTTAGAAACAGGGCATGCGTGTCGTCTCTAGTCTAAGTATCAGTTTATTTCCTCAGGTGTGTGCCAGCAGTAACCTAGCTTCGCTGTCTAGCGATTCGCGTTTTAATTTTTGAGGAACTGCTCTAGTGAGCCCTACAGAGCTAACTGAAATCTCCACCGTGAGCATACAAGGCTTCTTTCCCCTGCATTCTCGCTAGTGTTTTTTTTTTTTTCTTGGAAGACTTTCATCCTTTTGGATGGTTTGCTCTATAACCCATTTGTTCCTCAGTCCACAAAACCCACGCCGAACATATCTGAGCATAATGGAATTTAATGGCTCACACCACAGACCTGGAGATGACTAGCCCCATTGCACAGACTTTATGAAATCTCACTGGCCCACACCCACAAACACAAAAGCCATGGTTTGATTGAGGCGCAGTTTCTCTCGTGCTCTGCCTCTGGTGCTCCATACCTGTTGATGCTCCCTACCTTCTCAGTGCTCTGTTGTCTCTGGTGCTCCCTCCCCGCTGAGTGCTCTGCTGTCTTTGGTCTTGCAATTGGACTTCTCGGGGGACCAACTCCTCTCTCTCCACGATCGTAACAAAATCCTTCGGTTCACAAGCTGTGATGGAGCCTTCTCTTGTGTCGCACGCGTGTAAACTATAACACTTCCAAACACCTAACTCCCTAAGAAGATCTCTCTGCTAGAATCGGCCTCTCCCCTCCCGACCTTTCCCCCTATCTGTCTCTCAGTTTCTCAGTCCCTTGCTTTGCCACCCCTCTGTTTCTGAGAAGAAAACCTCCAACATTGCAATGCAAATACACAACAGCGCTTTCATCTTAGGGTGAAGAGTTTGACAAACTCCACTTAGCACAGAAGCTGTCCATTAGCCATACTGAAAGCAACAAAAGAAAATGCTTTAGAATATCAGACAAAGAGGGCAAGAGCAGAGAATTTATTTTTGTACACTTTCAAAGGGCAAAATGGATAAAAATAATGAGATTTAATATTATAACTGGGTACTTTCAATGCTTAAGATTCTTTCTTATGAATTTAATTCATCTATTGGTGGGGGAAGATTGATAGTATGCATTGTCAAATAATTCCATATACTTTGTCATTATTCAAGCAGCAATTCATCTAATAAGTATTAGACATTCCTGAAGCTGGGCATGCAACCCAAACCACAAACAAAGCTAGGCGTTGCGCTCATGAATTTTACTTCTCAGATCCTGAATACAATAGTCGTTGGCATGCCATTATATTTCATCAACACTTTCCAGAAAGGCAGGACTAAATAAGGGCAAGATGCGGAGCAGGCCTGGAATTTCTCAACGTTGGCTGCACCTCTAAATCAAGGGTTTATGGCTGCCTTGCCATCGACTGCGCTGTCTTACACAAGTTACTCAGCATTTGTATTTCCCTGTCAATGAATGCAGCCACTAGGGTTTTATCTGTTAGCGTGGGATGTGTGTTCATTATTCAGCAATTACTGTGATTGCTGTCATCCCCTGGTCACAACAAACGCACTTGCTCAACAGGATCACCTGTGCAATGCTGAAAGCCCAGGCTGTCCAGTAGACCCATCAGATCCCCAATTTTGAGCATGGAACACAGGGTTCAGGGACACTCTACTTGGTGTTTCCAACGTGCAGGCAGGTTTGGAAGTCAACTCTGTATTCTAAACTTCTCCTATCCTATTCACCTGCTCAGAGTGCATCTGCGAAATTCATATAACCGAGGTGCATGCATCTGGGTCTGTACTGTAACGTGAATACAAATCTTTCCCACTTATCAAGAATGGGGACCGTGACTGTGTCGTGCACAGCTGCGTGTGTGTGACCCTAAACTGTGTAAGGACTGCCACCGCAGCCTCAGCTGGGCCTGCCCGGAGGGAGAGAGGGACGAGCAGGAAGAGAAAGCATTGCCTGGGGCGCTGGGCCCGGGCGGGAGGACAGCTCGGCCATTCCCGCTGGGATCAGCACTTGGGGCCACTTTCCCGCGTCCTCTGGACACCTCTCGTCTCCCACGCCGATCCGCGATCGCGGCCCTGGGCTGCTGCTGGCGCCCGCTCCCGGTTCCCGCCTGCACCGCGGGCTCCAGCGCTCTCTGCTCCTGTCATGGAGCCCGGGCCGCTCAGCAGGCCCGCCGAGCCGGGGATTTGCGTGAGCGGCTCGCCCGGAGCGGGCTCAGCGTTTCCAGCGTCCCTGCCGTCTGGCGTTGGGGCCGAGCCCGGGAGTCGCCCTGGAACCGTGGCCGCCGTGCTGCCGGCCGGGGGCTGCGGGGAGAGGATGGGCGTCCGCACCCCGAAGCAGTTCTGCCGCGTGCTGGAGAGGCCGCTCATCAGCTACACCCTGCAGGCCCTGGAGAGGTAACTGGCGCTGGCACCCGCTCCCCAGAGCCCACCCAGCAGGCAGCGAGGGGCGAGCGCCCGGCCCGGCCCGGCTCGGGGGCGAGCAGGGCGCAGGGGCCCAGGGACTTTCGGTTCCTGCGCTGGCCCGGGGGCCGCAGGGACAGCGGCTCTAGGAGAGCCTGGCGCGCACAGCCACCGCGCATGCGTGCGCCCGAGTGGCCCCGGCGCGCCTCCGGTTTCCTGAGCAGGCACGGTTTTTTCTCTGGGTGATTTTTTTTATTTTTATTTATTTATTTTTTTTTTACCTGGGAGATGGACCTGGCCAAATACCGGGCAGTAGAGAGAAGAGCAGGGTTAATGCCAGGCTTTTAATAGCAGGAGGGGATTGGAGGGTGAGGTTGAGGCCCTAGAAAAGAGAAGGACGTGATTAGTTCCAGAAACAGTGAGCAGTGTCTGAAAGGCCCCAGGACCTGGTGAGATGGGAAGAAGGGATGCGTTACTTGTGTGGTTCTGTGATGGAGCTAAGGTGAGGCTGGGAGGGTAGGAGTCGACAGCAGTACAGAGGCCTCCAGTTCTGCTAGGTCTTTACTCCTGAAGTCAGGTAGGAACCTAAGTGACGGGTTACATTTCAAGCTAGAGGGCTTCGATAGAAACCGCTGTCGTCCTTGGCGTTTTTCTACTGAGGAGCAACCCTCTCTCCCGTCCCCAACACACTTCAGAAAGCCAAAAAGACAAAGCTATTGCTCATACGATTATTTTACTTTCTGATTATTGGCATTTAGCAAATGGAAGTGTAAGGAGCCGCAATCATCCTTGATTAATGTAATCAGGCCGGGGGTTACATCGGAAACTCAGTCAGACCTGGAAATGATTCCAGTTACCACCGCTGCCTGTGGCTTTTATTCCTCTTATAGTATGGAGGTTGCTTCATTCAGCCATCCTGTCAATACCACACACCTACAGGGCACTAGTACCACATCCATGCCCTCCATGGGATGGCTCACAATGGACGTAGCATTCATGCTAGCAATGGGATGGTTTGCAATGGATGCAGCATTCATGCTGGCCCTGGGATGGCTCTCAATGGACATAGTATCCATGCTGGCCATGGGATGGTTTGCAGTGGATGCAGCATCCATACTGGGCATGGGATGGCTCTCAATGAACGTAACATTCATGCTGACAATGGAATGGTTTGCAGTGGATGGCTTGCAGTGCCCACTGCCAGAGGATCCTTGCTTGGTAGTTATATGGAGGGAGTAGTAGATTTTTTTTTTCCATTTACTATCTCTTTACATGCAAAATGCTTTGTATTAATTTGCTTTTTTGCATGTACCATGGTAGCCTGAGAGAGGTGAACACTAACAATTAAATATTTTAATGTACAATAATGTTTGCAAAACATTATGAAATATAATATAAAATACAAATAATATAAAATATTGTGGAAAATATGGTGAAAGAACACTTGTTTTCCATTTTCCTTACTTGATAACAGCAGTCTGAAATCTGAATAGTCTTCTCGGGAAATTGGGATAAATTATAACAGTTATAAATTATAACTCACGGAACTTTGATTAATTTTTCATTTGATTAACAAGGACATGAGATTGGGAATCTTAGTCCCTCATGTGATTATTGCTTTGTGACAAGAGTTTCTGTGAAGAAATTTTGTTTCAAGAAGCCACGTGACAAAAATATTATTTCAGGGCTGTGAAGTTCTGATAGGAGGCTTGGCTCAGTTCATTAACACACGTATCCCAATTTTACTGTTTAGAAAAATGTTCTTCCTGGATCTGAGCTTGAAATGGTTTTGTCCCTCACAGTCAGGGGCCCACAGAAGGGACAGTAGAGCAGTTCCCACAATGGAGCAGCTCCATTTGCATTGGGGCTGGTTGGGATTGTTCAGAAGGAAGCAGTAGACTGCTGTATGGAGAGGGCCCTTTGTCCCTGCTACCCGGCTATCTTACACCCAAAATAACCACACAAAAACTGTATTCATTAAAACATTGCTTGGCCATTAGCTCTAACTTCTTATTGGCTAACTCTTACATCTTAATTTAAGCCATTACTATTAATCTGTGTATCGCCTCGTGACTGTGGCTACCGGCAAGATTCTAAACAGCATCCATCTCAGGCAGAAGATCCATGGTGTCTCTCTGACTCTGCTTTCTTCCTCCCAAAATTCAGTTCTGTCTTCTCTGCCTACCTAAGTACTGCCCTATCAGGCCCAAAGCAGTTTCTTTGTTCATTAACCAATGGAAGCAACACACGAACAGAAGAACCTCCTACACCATTTCCCCTTTTCTGTTTAAACAAAAAAGGAAGGCTTTAACTTTAACATAGTAAAATTACATATAACAAAACAGGTATCAAATAAGAATTACAGTTATAATACTTATGTTTAGTTTATCTTTTATCGTAACTAAGGAGAACTATAACTATTTATCTATTTTTAACTCCATTAAAGACTCTAGAAGGATATAATATTACTTGACTAAACAGAAAGTACATTGTAAGCAACTTTTAAAACTCCAAAATTGACAGAGACATCTTGCTACTTGGATAGTCACCCAAGGTTTTTTGTACCATTGGGGCATCCATTGTTAGCCTATTGGCCCATAGTATCCAGCAGACTTTTATATGAAGAAGGAAATTTTAAAGATAGTTCTGCCTATATTGGCAGTTTGTCAGTCACTTTTTTTGTGTACTGCAGATTGTCTTGCAAACTCTTTTATGAAGCAGGAACCCTGAAGAATCATCTTACCTTTAGGCAGGTTTAACAGTCTTTTTTTTTTTTTTTTTTTAATGTGGATCTTGCATGTCCAGTTTAGCAGTCCAGGCAAGAGCAGTTTTTTGCCCAAATGGCTAGCAAACTCCATAAGGAACCTCTTCAGAACCTCCTACACCAGTAGACAGCATAGTGTGGCATCTGAGGAGAAGACTGCTGCTGCTCACTCTGAGAAAGGAGAGGCAGGTGATGCTTGCCTTATGGACTCTTTGTTTGAGGGGTTACAATGTGGAGTTGACAGTTTAATGAACTTTAGCTCAGGGCTGGAGCCTGTTTCTTTTACTCCACTGTGTGACAGCTTTATCAATACCTGTTTAATCTTGGCAGGGACCGAAGTTAGCTGGGAAAAACCTGCAGCTGGCTGGGTCACAGAGGGGTCAAGGTTTGTTTTTTTTTATTATTGTTATTGTTGTTAAGATATGAAATGTGGGGTTGGTGACTAGGGTGGCCATAGAAATAAAACTTCTTACCAGTAATCTGATTTCTTTTTAGAGATTTTAGAAGTGTTGGTTAGTATGGAATACAAGATTTTGACTATATAGGAACAGACACGTGAATCTAAGCCATGCTTTTCTTGATGAGTGGGGCTGGGCGGCCCCATCAGATCTGCTTTGACCTCACTTGCCCTGAAGCTTTTGTGGTTTCTTCAGCCCTGTTAGGTGGAAGTCTCTGCTTAAGAGAACTTGTTCCTCGATGTGGTTCATGCTTATCAAAATGTTGTCATTTGGCTGTGGATCTCAACCACACACACAGTTGTCCTGGTCTATAATATTGCTTTAGTCCATTGCAAATTCTGCTGAGCAGAACAGATGAGGATTTCACGAGTGTTTCTCTAAATGAGCAATATTGGTCATTCAAGTTAAATCGAGATCATAAGAATGGGAGAGACAGGATGTGAGAAATGTTTAGGAGGTGGTATTGATCCCAGTGATTAGTGATTCAGAAAGAGAAAGGTGCTTACCATACTCTTAGTTGAATGGTAAAGTAGAGCAATTTGGTTTACTAAGGTCATGTCCAAGTGAAGGAAATTAGTAAAGCTGTTGTATTTGTGTCTTGTATTCAATTAGAGCTCTGCATTGTCTTGCCTTGGAGACTCCCTTTTTTTTTTTATTGAGTATTACTGAACACTACATTTTTCTCTGCTCCCCTCCCTGCCTCTACCCTCCCGTTCAACCCTTTCCTAAGGTCCCCATGCTCCCAATTTACTCAGGAGATCTTGTCTTTTTCTACTTCCCATGTATGTCTGTCTCAGTGTCCTCATTGTTGTCTAGGTTCTCTGGGATTGTGATTTGTAGGTGGGCTTTCTTTATGTTTAAAAAACCACTTATGAGTGAGTACATATGATAATTGTCTTGTTGGGTCTGGGTTACCTCACTCAAAATGATGTTTTCTAGCTTCATCTATTTGCCTGCAAATTTCAAGATGTTGTTTTTTTCTGCTGTGTAGTACTCCATTGTGTAAATGTACCACATTTTCCTTATCCATTCTATGGTTGAGGGGCATTTAGGTTGTTTCCAGGTTCTGGCTTTACAAACAATGCTGCTATGGACATAGTTGAGCATATGTCCTTGTGGCACAGTTGAGTATCCTTTAGATATATACCCCAAAGTGGTATTACTATGTCTTGAGGAAGGTTGCTTCCTAATTTTCTGAGAAATTGCCACACTGACATCCAAAGGGGTTGGACCAGCTTGCATTCCCACCAGCAATGCAGAAGTGTTCCCTTTACCCCACAACCTCTCTAGCATAAGTTGTCATCAGTGTTTTTGATCTTGGCCATTCTTACAGGTATAAGATGGAATCTCAGAATTGTTTTGATTTGCATTTCTCTGATGACTAAGGATGTTGAGCATTTCCTTAAGTGTCTTTCAGCCATTTTAGATTCCTCTGTTGAGAGTTCTCTGTTTAGGTCTGTACTCCATGGTTTTTTTTTCTTTTTCTTATTGGATTATTTGTTTTTCTGATGGCCATTTTCTTGAGTTCTTTGTATATTTTGGAGATCAGCCATCTGTCCAATATGGAGTTGGTGAAGATCTTTTCCCATTCTGCAGGCTACTGTTTTGTCTTGTTGACTGTGACCTTTGCTTTACCAAAGCTTCTCAGTTTCAGGAAGTCCCATTTATCAATTGTTTCTCTTAGTATCTGTGCTACTTGGATTGTATTTAGGACGTGTTCTCCTGTGCCAATGCATTCACGTGTACTTCCTACTTTCTCTTCTATGAGGTTCAGTGTGATCCTTTTGGACTTGAGTTTTGTGCATGGTGATAGATATGGGTCTATTTTCATTCTTCTACATGTTGACATCCAGTTATGTCTGCATCATTTGTTAAATATGCTTTCTTTTTTCCATTTGATATTTTTTGCTTCTTTGTCAAAAATCAGGTGTTTGAAAGTGTTTGGATTAACATCCATGTCGTCAATTCAGTTCCATTGGACCTCATGTCTGTTCTCATGCCAATACCAGGCTGTTTTCAGTATTGTATCTCTGTAGTAGAATTTGAAGTCAGCGATTGTGATGCTTCGAGAAGTTCTTTTATTGCACAGGATTGTTTTGGCTATTCTGGGTTTTTTGCTTTTCCATATGAAGTTGAGTACTGTTCTTTCGAGGTCTGTGAAGAATTTTGCTGGGATTTTGACGGGCTTTGCACTGAATCTGTAGATTGCTTTTGGTAAGATTGGCATTTTTACTATGTTAATTCTACCTATCCAAGAGCATGGGAGATCTTTCCATTTTCTTGTGTCTTCTTCAATTTCTTTCTTCAAAGACTTAAAGTTTTTGTCATGCAAGCCTTCCACTTGTTTGGTTAGAGTTACTCAGATATTTTGTGGCTATTGTGAAGGGTGATGTTTCTCTGATTTCTTTCTCAGCCCATTTATCATCTGTGTACAGGAGGGCTTCTGATTTTTTGAGTTAATCTTGTATCCTGCTACATTACTGAAAGTGTTTATGAATTGTAGAAGTTCCTTGGTAGAATCTTTAGGGTTGCTTATGTAAACTATCATATCATCAGCAAATAGTAAGAGTTTGACTTCTTCTTTTCTGATTTGTAGCCCCTTGATCTCCTTTTGTTGTCTTGTTGCTCTAGCTAGGAACTCAGGAACTATATTGAATAGATATGGAGTGAGTGGACAACCTTGTGTTGTTCCTGATTTCAGTGGGATCGCTGTGAGTTTCTCTCCATTTAGTTTGATGTTGGCTGTTGGCTTGCTGTATATTGCCTTTATTATGCTTAGGTATGTTCCTTGTATCCCTGCTCTCTCCAAGACCTTTATAATGAAGGGATGATGTATTTTGTTGAAGAGTTTTTCAGCATCTAATGAGATGATCATGTGGTTTTAATTTTTTCAGTTTGTTTATATGGTGGAGACTCCTTCAAAGCCTGGCCAAGACCAGTGGTTCCAAGGCTCACAGAGCTAGAGGATTCTGTTGATAAGGGATTAGCAGCCAGTCTGCCTCAGTAACTCAGTATTTTATCCTAAATCTTCAATATGGGCATGGAAAAGTGGGAATCCGTAAACAGTGGCTACAGTGCAATCCAGAGTTAAGTTTCCATCAAGGCGAGCATGTTGGGGAGCAGCAGCTGCCATTGTCCCTTTAAGGCTCGATTTCGGCAGCCTGGATGAGTGTTTTAGAGGTAGGTGTTAAAGGGGCTTGATTTCCCCCGGGTTTTTAAATAAGAATTTGTGTACCTGTTCTGTTTTCAACTGGTTTTATTAAACCATCTCAGCAGAGTATGCTTGTAACATTTGTTATTCCTGGAGAAAATAACTTCTGAGATATTATATTTCCTCCTCAAAATGTCTGTAGGTGTTATGGAGCCCGGGGCTAGGTTTATATCTGTTATGGAATGTGCTAGGAAGGAAATAATCATTTGGATTTGATAGAATCAGGCTGCCGGGGTTTGGTGTGGACTTGTTTTCAGCTCAGAGGTAGACCAGATGCTTCTATTCATTAAGTATTTACTCAGCATGCACTGTGTGAGGTACTTAAGGTCTTTTACAGTGTTTTACAGAATTAAAAATTAATTCTATGTCTTGAAAAGAATGTGAATAAATCCTTTGAAATACAAACAGTTCTTACAAAAGCTTGCCAGGTTCTGGGTTTATCCTGGGTTGTTGAACAAAATATCATAGTAAGCTTACTACCTTTTGAGTGGTTTTGAGTAATGTTTTCTAAATTATCACTTTTTTCAGGGACTTTTCTTCATTTCATGCTATACATTATATTCTTATTTTTATTTGACCTAATCAATAATACTATGTTTAACTTAATAGGAAGGTCCCATGGAATGCACACTTTGAAAAACAGTGATTTAAGACATTTTAAAGCTGGGCATAAAGGTTATTGGGGTAAACTCCAAAGTCAGATTGGGTTTAGCCCAGCCCCTTCATTTTCTCCTGGTGTGGTTATGGGTAGGTCATTATCTTTGTGTCTTCAAGAGTAAAATAGAGACTGTAGCATTTTTTGCCCAAAGAGCTGAGTATTGAGATAGTGTATGTAAAATTCTTATCACAGTCCACAGACGCTAACAAAGATTACACATTTTTAGCTGTTTCTATAACTAATATTATTGAAAGTAAAATACGTGCTAAGTTCTGGGATGCAGTCTTTCTGAGAACTGGCAGCCTATTGAGGAAGATAGAACAATCCTGACCGCAGCATCATGGTCTCAATAATCTTCGTGGATGAGTCTTTCAGAAGTGGAAGGTAAGGAGGCTGTACCCAGCTTTGTAGTCAAAGGAAGTTTCCTGGACTGGATTGTGTTTGCAGCTGTGGAGCAAGGGGAGCTAAGATTTGGGTTAGTAGGCTAAGAGAGCGAGGAAAGCGATGTGGAGAAACAGGAGCAACACAGAGGCATGCCTGTAGGAGGACGTGTTCCCTCTAAATTGTTTTTCCCTTCACTGTGAGAGGATCATCTTAAGAGAGGGAAAGCTTACATTTGCAGGGGATGCAGCCTGTTACAGTGGGAAAGGCAGTGGAAATGAGTCAGCAGGGTTAACCTGGAAGCAGAGAATGTAGCCTGGATGCTGGCTTGGTTTTAACTTTCAAAGGTGTGGTGACCTACTAATACTAGCCATTCCGCTTGCCCTAAAGGTCCCATGCTATCTTGAAATAGCACTATCAGCTGGGTGCCAAATGTTCAAATCTGTAAGCCAGTGGGGGCACTTTGGACCCTTACACATTACTTTCCATTCAGGAAGCAGCTAGGCAGAAAGTAAAAGGGTTATGGCAGAGGGGACACCTGTGTGTTTTGGGACTGGGAGGAGGCAGTAAGGTCTACAAAAGGCCTGGACAAGAGCCAGCAACATGGCCCCAGGGTTTGAATGTGAGAGGGATCACCCAGAAGCAGCAAGAATAGATTGTGTTGGGATAAGATGAGGAAACATTAAGAATTGCATTAAGTACTGGACATAGGCGATTACAGGAAAGAACAATGGATCACAGCTGTGGGAGCTGAGCCCTGAGCCAGACCCTTTCAGAATTCCACAGTGAGGAGAGACTGAAGAGTGGTAACTTGCCAGTTGCTGTAGTCTTTGTGAACAGGACGATTTCCACACTCCTAAGATAGGGTAGGTTCTAGAGTTGTGAAGAATGAGACTGGTGTGGGGGATGGGCTAAACAAACCAAGGAACAGTTTGTAGGTGATCTAGTTCTGGAGTCCTTATCCCTTGTAAGGACTGCAGATCGCTCTTGGGGATTCCACTCCACTGCATCACTTTCATCAGTGAAGTCATTTTGAGATGTCTGACAAAATATGGAAGTAATAGAGTAGCTTTTACTTAAGATCTAAGTGGAAAATCAAGGAAACCAGCCCATAAGTGTCGGAAGACATTACAGTATGGGCAGTTTATTTGTTCAATAAACACTTTGATAAGAGTTTTTTTTTTTTTTTAAAGCAAGACTGATAAGTGTTGCCATGGGACCTATACTCCAGAAGATGAATTAAATAAAACAAAACAAATAAAAACCACACAAAACAAAACAAAAGAAAAAACAAATCTCCCAAAACAACAAAGTCATATTGAATTGTCAATGAAAAAAGTGGTATTTTTCTGTCTTTATTAATTTTGAATGAAATAGAAATATAGAGGTATACTACATCTGTTACATAAATTATAGAAGTATATCATACTAATTATCATATAAATGTTTTCTGAATAATGCCTCTGTCAGAGACGGAGTACCAGTATTACACAACTATCATACAAGTTAAATAAGAGAAGTGCAAAATGCATGTTAAGTGCTTTTCTTGTTATCTGTGATTTGATACGTGATCCATTTTCAGGACTTAACTATTCTAGCATGAATGTATAGAATTTCATTGGCTTATAGCTTTAATTTCTCTTAGTTTAAATGGCTTTTTTTTGTTTTTGGCATATAAAATATTAGAAAATTTAAGTGATTCTGTGGGTCAGAGGCCTTTGTCCCGGTTTGGGGCATTGGGACATGCAGGTCCCTAGCGTCATTTGCTGGCTAGCACTAGTATCCATAAGCTTGTGAAACTTGCTGATTCCAGAGCCAGAGCCAGAGCCAGGTAGTGTGGACCGTGATTAATCTGGGTGCGGGCGGTGTGAGTGAGGTCCAGTTTTTAGTTTTCATAGTTGAGTGGTTGGTTGCAGCTCCTGGAGCATCTTGAGATATTCGGCCGACAGAACTTGGTAGTATTGAGTTCTTCCACTGTGGGAGAAAATAATAAGGAAAATATGCATTTTAAAGCATATTCTTTTGTGTGTTTTCTCAGACAATTTACAGATACACCATTTGTTCAAATTTAATTGAAGTGAAAAAAAATCTAATGTATGTCTTATGTAGTATAGCATACTTTATGTACCATGCCATGTAAGATACATAGTGTGAAAAAAATCACCTCGATTGATAGTGTGAAATGCTTAGTGACTCCTAGACCTAACCAAAATGTATGACAGCTGAGCTTTCGGGTATAATCTCCCTATGTGGACTGATACTATTTATACTGGAGTTCCGTTTTCCTTTATGAACCTTAGAGTCCACTTATATTAAACGCACACATGCTTTCCTTGTAGAGTTTGCTGGATAAAGGACATTGTTGTGGCCGTGACAGCGGAGAACATGGAAGCAATGAGGAGCATCATCCAGAGGTATGGGCATAAGCGCATCTCCTTAGCCGAGGCCGGAGCCACACGCCACAGGTCAATTTTTAATGGCCTGAAAGCCCTGGCAGAAGACCAGCCAGACGTTGTGATCATCCACGATGCCGTGAGACCTTTTGTCGAGGAAGACATTCTCCTGAGAGTTGTCACAGCAGCTAAGGAACATGGGGTGAGTGACACTGGGGATGGATGAGGGGCCCACATGGTGCCGTGGTTACTTTGTTTTGGTAGAGCTGTGTTTAATGGTCCCTAAGTGGGTACAGTGACCTGAAGACATTACTTTAAGTCTTCTCACTGTATGCTGTGATTCTTGATCTGTTTTTGTTATGTCCTTTATGATGTTGTGATACAAGCAATTTGGAGGATTCACTAATGATGCCATTAAAATATATGCCTGTTACACTCATTTACTCCTTCCTTATCCTCTCACAGTTAGCTTTTCTCTTTCTCTTCATGCGATATGTACCAACATGTGTATTTGTTTACGTATATACATACACCACTGGCTAGATGCCACATATGAGAGAGTCTGAGATTTATTTATTCCTGACATTGGAGGTAATGGGCATGAATTGTGAAAAAGGACATAAAGCTCATTATTTTTCTAGTTATAATTCTGTTCTGAATTCTTTGTTTTTTTTTTTTTATGGTGAATGATTATATAAACATATTCAATACTAAAAATGTCAAATTAATATGCAGTTTCACAGTTTCTTTTTCAATGCCAATTCTAGCTGTATATAATTTAAGTTGTATAGATTTTAGGGCTGGTTAATTTTGGTGTGTGATGGTTTATTTACTTAAAAGTTTTGTTTTGATAGAGGTTTCTGTTATGCCTGGCCCTGCAGCTGTTCAGTCCCAAAGAAACACACAGAGGTCCACATTAATTAAACTGGTTGACCTGTTAGCCCAGGCTTCTTATTAACCCTTACATCTTAAATTAACCCATAATTTTTGTCTGTGTTAGTCATGTGTCTTGGTACCTTTTATCAGTGAGGCATTGTCATCTTTCTTCCTCTATGTCTGGGTGACAACTGCAGACTGAGCCTTTCCTCTTCCCAGAATTCTCCTGTTCTGGTGGCCCCACCTATACTTCCTGCCTGGCTACTGACCTATCAGCATTTTATTAAACCAGTGCAAGTGACAAATCAATAAAGGTACATGACCATTGTCCCACAATAGTTTTTTTTATATAATGAAGTTTCTAAATATATATCCATAAGTGGAACTTTAATGAGATAAATTCATAAGCAGTTGTATTTCCAAAATGCATAGAAATCTAGCCGAAGTCCAGATACACACACTTAACAAAACCTGTGCATGAATCTTTCAGAAATGGCTTATTTTCTAGAGTCAATAGCCACACACGACTTTTGGATTGCATAAAGGAAAGCATTTGAAGATAACGAGATTGTTTTCCTTGCTGCATCTCCTAGGTAAACACAGGCTGGGACAATGCCTATTGCTATGTGTAGAGTGTCTTTACTTTTTCCTGTTCTTACCAGGTACATGTCTGTAAATATGGGCACAGATCCAAAACTTAAGTTTCCATTCTAAATTTGAGACAGAGAAAAAACATTGTGTGACACAGTTCCTGGGGAGACTCACCCCGGATAGGGAACCAATGACAAGTTAAAGTAAAGGTACTACCTACATCCGACTTGATGAGCCAAGGAGACTCACCCTGGATAGCGAACCAAGGACAGGTTAAAGTAAAGGTACTACCTACGTCTAACTTGATGAGCCAAGGAGTTTAATTGGTGTTATTTACAAGAATGTGGTTGGGTAAACACACTGGTGTAGAAAGTCTTAGACGGCTGCATCACTGAAAGCTTGCTGCAGCATGGGTGGTACTCACACTAGCTGGAAACACTGTACAGCCTGCAGCAGCTCAGCAGGTTGGAGACAGGGTCTTTTTCTAGGTCTCTGATTTGGTCTCAGTCTCTTCTGGGCAATTCAGCTGGTTTCTTCTTTCAGGCTTTTGGCTCTTTCTTCAACAAACGTAGCTTGGCTGAGCTGCCTTTCGTATCAATGCGTTCGAAAGTGTCTAGATTTATTACACTCTCTGTTTTGTGACTATAAAACTTCATGAGACTGCTTCCACAGTGGAACGTGAAATTTAGAGTAACCTAAATTGGTGTTCACAGGCTATGTTCACTTGAGTTTGGATCCAGAATAAATTCTCTTTTATTCCTATTGAGGTGAGAGCTGTGTTATTTTTCATTGACATTTGTGGCAATTCTTATTAAACTGTCACTTTCTTAAATTGCGAATCAACCTATTTTAAAATTCAATCACATTTGTATCTTAAAATCAACAACTTGGATTTTTAATGAAATCTGGACACCTTCCTAATTACATTTGAAAGCATGATTCAAAACCAAAACTTTATGGCATTTATGTTGAAAAAGGACATAAGAAATATAGTTTCATTTGGAGACATTGTGTTGGTTTTTATGGATAGGAAAAGATGATTTTCATGAATGGTAAAGTTCATGAGTTTTACCTGGATCTGAGTACTAAGGACTTTCCTCAGTTCATTAATGATTAACTAGGTGTTATAGTTGGTTTAAGTTTAAATTCAGAGAAACACAAACTTCTATTCAATAAAAATCAATTCTTACATAAACTAAAAGACAGGAAAAACTGGGATCTTCCTGGAGGAGTCACTTAGACCCCACTAGACAGAACATATTTACGTATTTATAGGTGAAGTTTATTGAGCATTGCTCTGGTTATTTGCAAGTTTTAGAATGATGACGAGCTTAAAGGCTTCATTGAGATAAGGTGGGCGGGTCCACTCTCAGAAACAGGTTTTCCACTGATACACTCCTGCCAAAGTTTCCAAAAGAGCTGCCTGTAACACTGCCCCAGGAACCCCAGTAACACACAAACAATACTTCCTGCCAGCTTAGATGTGGAATCTAGAAAATGCAAATGTAGTGGAGACAAGAGTAGTTGTGTTTATTCAAAGGGGGTAAATATTGCCATTGTTAGGACTGACCTGAGTCCTGCCCACTCACCGCTGCCTATATTCCAGTTTCATTTAAAAACTGTTAATGGAGATGGGGTACAACTAGGAATAAGTGTGGCTGCATACAGACGCTTGGGAGTATCCCCAGCATGCGGTTTCTGTGTGGCCACATTCTCAAGTTCCACATGGAGGAAAGATGGCTTCTATAGGGCCAGTGGCAAGATTCTTACTTTCTTACTATTAATGTTAATTTGAGTATAAAATACTAAGTGAATTTTTTTTCATTTTTTTTTAAAAATAGATTTTGTCATTTTTTCCTGTTTTCTTTTTCCTCTCTTTTTGATAAGTCTGTAAAATAAATTTAGATGGAGAGATGGTTTAGTGGGTCGCCTTATCCAGCCTTGATATGAGGGTTTGTGCCCAGCCTTGTTGTAACTTGTTAGGACCTGCTCTGTGGATATTCTGGGAGGGCTGCTCCTTTGTGAGGGAATTGGAGGAGGAGTTGGTTTGGGAAAGAGAGGAGATGGGAGGAGGGACTGGGAAGGGTGGAGGGAGTGGGAAACTGTGGTTTGAATGTAATGTGTGAGAGAAGAATAAAAGTTAAAAGACAAAACAGAAAAAGCATGTATTTGTTACTCTTGCCGAAATAAAGCTCATACCACATTCATGTCTTGTGGCTAACAACACCTGTAGCTCAGGCTTCAGGAGATCCACTGTCCTCTTCTGGCCTGATAGGTGGCTGGACTCATGTCCACAAACCACACAGATACATTATTTAAAAAAAAAAAAAAGATGCTAACAAGTACACTGTTGATAGTCCCTTGCAGTACACTGCATTTAAAGACATGTTTATAGATTCCTCATGCTTGTTCAGTTATAGGAAATGCTTGGCTGAGCTGCTTTCCTCCCTTACTTGGGTTTATTGTCCTTTATGAAATTGTATTCATATCTTTATTCTAGAAAGTTCCAAAACATTGTCTGGTTATTCTCTGCCACATTTCTTCTCTGCCTGTATTTTCCTTTTCCTGATGCATATGCATGCTAGGTCCTTTTATCCCATCTTCATGTCTAGCTTTTTTCCTGTTTCCATGCTTTCTGGGTGCCAAGTCCTAGGTGATCTGTTTTCTATTTCATTCACTTTTTAGCTGTGTCTAATCTCCTGGTTAGGAACCCATTTAATATTTTTCGTTCTTTGCAGTTCTTTCTAGTCCGTTTTCAAATGTGATTAGTCCCCTTTCTGGTTTTGATTTTACATTTTTCTCTTTAATATCTAAACCATTTATACATTGCAGCTAATTGTGCTTCTTGGGAGCTCTCCAACTTTTCTTTCTGCTCACTTTTGCTCGTGATTTGTTTCCTCCATTGCCTTATAGTTTGAGCTGCAACAGATGTCGAGGAACAAGTCCTGATCTTGTTTGGCAGGACTTTATCAGGGAGAATCCCATGGACGTGGGAGAGGGTGCGTTTTTGAAGCATGGATTTATGTTCTTTCTGCCAGCAGATCCAAGCACATTACCAACTTCAAGCAGTGTTGCATTGTTTCTTGGCTTGCGGTTTTGTAGATGCTGGGTAGCATTAAATCAAACTCTTCCTCCACATATGCCTAGCTGATTATGAGGACTTTTCAGAAGCAGCAGCCCCTGCTGAATAGGTCTAAAGCCAAGACAGTCTTGCTTGCGGCCTTCCTTTACTTGGGTGTTCTACCTTTTAAATACGGGCTGTGTCCTTTGTAAGCCTGTGTCAGCCTGTCCTAACCAAGTGGCACAGGCACAGGATGTTATCATTCTTTGTTGTATATTAAATTTAAATATCCCCATTAGCCCAAAGCATTTTTATAATCTTATTTCCTTTGTTTCTGGCCATTTTCTTTGTTACTCCCAGGAAATTTTGACATAGGCTCAGTCATATTTTTAAAAAACTTTTTGTAAAATTCTGACTTGGTTTTGTTTTTTTTTTCAATTGCAATGGTTTTAAAAGAAAATTTTTATGCCATTTTGACAAAAATAGAAATGTCCATCTCTTCCAAACATAAAGTAATCTTATGGTTCTACAGTTAAGATGTTGGTGAAAAGCAACGAAGATTTCTTACAAGGGGATGTTGGATACTTACAAGTGGAAGTATGCCGGGATACTAAAGGATGATGTCTACCAGATGCTCGGCACTCATGTGTACAGGGCCAGCCAGGCTGCTGGGT